CACACCTGACATCTGTCTGCTCCCCTGAAAATAAGCAGATATAAGAAAACATAGCAACAAAAGACATATCCATATAATAATAAAATTAATTATAATTTCTCTGTAAAGCATGCATATACACACACTTATATATATTTCCTTTATCGTGCTTGCATTAAATAAATAAATAAATAAATAAATAAATAAATAAATAAAATTACACTGTTGGTGATGGATCGACCTCAACATTATTGAGGAATTTTAAAGAAAATAAAATACTGTAATATTACCTCAACAAATGGCATTATCTTGACTCTAAACTCTGATTTATTTTTAAATTCAACAACTCAGGACTGAACGTAATAAACAATGAAAGTCATTTAAACTGTAGAGGGCGCTCTTATCACAGTCCAACTACGGTTTTGAAATTTTAGGACAAAATAATCATCAACAATCAGTCAAAAAAATCACATTTATTTACAGTTATATCAAATTTTACAGATAAATATTAAACATTATTTTTGTGTAAATCTACAGAATTCAGTGTCAGTTCAAACCCTTCACTCTGATGACCGGAACAACTTTAACACTAAACACAGGACATCTCAGATTATATTAAATAGTCACTTTTAAACAACTGTATTATTAATAACAACATAATGATCTAGAAATGAAAACATAAAACTTTTCTGTTAATGAGTTGTTGGGAAGGTCCAGCCTTCAGGTTGATAAAAGGATTAATTTAATTTAACAAAAACAGACTTTCCTCTAACAGCTACCACATTTTTTTAAATGTTATCTCATCTGGTCAACTGCTAGATTTGTTTTAGTGAAATATTTGTGGGATGTTTCGGCTTTTCTCTCTTACTGATAAACATTCTTGTTTCAGGTTCGAGGGAGCAAGTGTAGCTCCTCACTCAACTTCTTATACTTTAGACTAGAAAGAAACAATAAACTAGGAAGTTAGAAATTCAAGTTTTTCACCTGTTTGACCATAAAATCTACTATTCTTGTCTCATGTAGAAAAGTTACTCTTCTGTCAGTTTGTATTTCATCAAATCAACTTCTGTTAGCTGCCTTGGTGCTGTTTTATGTTAAAATGCCAGGAGCTTAACTTTTATAACAGGTTTGCATTTGGCTAATCTGATAAACCAGGTCATTCCCAGATTATTACTATTATTTTGCATTAAATGGAACACAGCATTCCACCAATCTGATTTAGACTCACTCTGCTCTGTCTGAGGCACTGCAGCTGCAGCAGTTGTTCAGTGATTAAAACGGCTGAATGTTTTAACCATAAACATGACTCTTTATACGACCAACAGGTGTTTCTTCCAGTTATTATAAATGCTAAACAAGCGACTGAGTCAACATTACTCTCAGTTACACTGAGGAGCAGCTTGTAACAAATCCCACAGTGTTAACAATAACTGCTTCTTTATCCATTATCTCAACATAGAACATGAATTAAGTTAACATAATGTTTGGCATTAAAGTTAAAACTGTACAAACCATACAAAAGCTTTGCATTCTGCAGGACGTCACTGAAAAGCAAACTTTCAAATGTTTGAGTGGGTCACAACAAAGTGCAGAGGTTGAAAATGTTTTTTTCTTTTTAGTTAAAATCCATAAATTACAAAGAAAATGCAGATATTTTCATGGTGTTTTAAATACAAGAAATGCAGAATAAACAGAACTTGTGGATTTAACATCAGAGTGGTGCCCCCGTGGTCCTGAAATAAACACTTTCTTCCACAAACTGTTCTGGGGTCTCATTTATAAAGGATTGCGTGGAAACCATACTAAAAGTTAACGTACGGCCAAAAGGCGGAAATGGCGTACGCCAAAAAAAATTCAGATTTATAAAACCGTACGTACGCACGTTTCTGCGCATCTTTCCTTTATAAATCACAGCCGCACGTCAGAGTTTGCGCACGAGGTCCCGCCTCAGGTTCTACCCTCTACACGCCCACATTCAACCATAAACAGTCAATGTAAAGTACCTCATGAATGTTAAGATGTATTTAAATCAGTCAGCTGATCAATGCCAACAAAAGTGATTGGTTCACGCTCCGTCGTGCGTCTGGATGATGACAGGTGCTGACTGACAGCTGCTCACGTGAACAGAATGTCTGTAACTGACACAGATTTTCCCTCATTTTGCTTTAGAGTAATCTAACGATTTTTATAAAAAAAAAAAAACCTCAGCTTCAAATTAATTTTCCATCAGAGCCAATAGGACGATAAAAAGAATAAAAATTAAATTAAATAAGTCAGGTAAAATTAGAAATAAGTCCCCCGCTCTTCTCCTCGTCCTCTCCCCCCTCCTGCCTGCTCTGTTACCCGTGGCAGACCCCCGCCCCGCGCGCGCGCGCGCGCACGCACACACACATACACGCACGCATCCCCCCCCGCGCGTGACAAACACGGACTGGATACACGCTCTGCGCGTGTATCCAAAGCTTTTGCTGTCCTGCTGTTCTTATCAGGGAGGGGTCTGTGGGTCAGGGTCGTCTGAGGAGGAAGCAGATGAATGGAGTTGCGCACGGGAACTTTTATTTAAGTCTGATTCTGAAGGTAAATTAAATCTCTGACAGTGATCATTACGCAGTGTGGCTCTAATTCTTCACTTCACCATCTGTGTCGCAGTTTCACATCTCCAAAATGAGCGTACGCATGGGTCAAAGCTGGCGTGAGGCACCGCACATTTTCACGTCAAGTTTGGATTTTATAAATCACAACCTTAGCGTAAAAAGTGGCGTACGCAAGTTTCTGGGCTCAAATTGTGCGTACGCCAGTTTTATAAATCCGACCCCTGATCCTTCAGACTTTTTATTTAAATCAGAAGTGACGTAAAGTTCTGTTGCAGCAGCAGCTTCCTGTTTCTGCAACATCTGATCTGAAACTGAACCGTCTCAGATGATTTTCAGGAACCAGCTGCTTCTGTTGCTCCTGGTGAGGTGGTCTCATCCCGGACAAAGAACCCGCCTGGAGCAGGTCTGGGATCAGGGTCTCCTGAGGGGCGGCTCCAGCCTGTTGGACAGGGCGCTCAGCACCTGGTCGAACTTGGAGAACCTCAGAGCCTGGTTCTCCTCGGCTCCTCTGCTGCCCCACAGCAGCCTCATCTGGAACTCCGTCAGGAAGATCTCCCTGACCTCAGCCTGCTCCTGGAAACCTGAAAATCCACATTTTATCATCAGAATCTGTCAAATGTACAAATTTAAAACTCAGAATAATAATCTGTGATGTGCGTTGAGGTCAGTAAAAACAGGAAATTTAAATGAAATAAAGTTTTTCTTCTGTTTTATTGCTCACCTTGTAATCTGGCCTCAGCGTTGGAGCGGTAGACCCCCCCCAGCTGCGCCATGGTCCTCGCCGCCCCCAGGTGGAACATGACCACATCCACGCTGACCTCCGCCATCTCCCATGGCTCTGCCCCCTCGCCCGCCGCCGAGCTCCTCTCCAGCAGGGCGAGGAGGGGGAGGACGTGGGGGAAAGTGGTGTTGTACAGCGGGCAGCTTTCTGAAATAAAAAAAAAAAGCGTGCTTAAGAAAAATAAACATAATTAACTTTGATTTACTCATCACGACGTTGGAAACGCTCTACCTTTTCCATCATTGAGGCTCTTCAGAAACGGACGCAGAGTTTTCTCGTAGAGGATGGCGCCATCTGTGTGTCGCTGCCGTAACGCCGCCCAGGTGTGCTCCAGACGAGACACCTGGGAGACGCACAGACATCAAATAGAGATAATAAAATGTTTTTAAAAACTCCAAAAGAATAAGCTTTCTGAAGTTTTTCACCCCTCGCCTTCTCTGCTACACTTTTAATTTTTAAAACTTTTGCTTTCTGAAATTTAGACACGTTTTTTTAAAATATTTACTTTAGTTTGTTTTAGTTTCAGACTGTTTTATTTATTACACAGCATCATTTATTACAGCAAAACCTGATTCAAATAATTTAAAGGGGCAATATCATGTAAAATCAACTTTTTTGAGTTTTATATCATGTTATAATGTTATACTCTCATAAAAAACATGCCCAAAGCCTTGCTCTGACTCATTCATCATGTTTGAGAAATCCTGCAGTGTTTTTAGGAAGCCATGCTGAGGAGCAAAACAACAGGTGGGGACCAGAAACATCTCCTCTGGGATGTGTCTTTAAGCCGAACTTCCTCA